CCGTCTGTTTGTCGATCTAGTGTGACAAGTTGATATTTCAAGTTTATATGGATAACCAACGGAATGAAGAGTTCGACATTAGCAGCCATTTCTATTCTACTGTCTTAGTGCCACCAATGACGACTCAACTGAGCAAGGAGGTTGGTAGCAAGATATGTAAAGCGACGACAAACGAAAGTGACGTTTAATGTTGCGCGTAGCACGGGCATCTTTACATCCAAAGAATTGTTCCTGTACCACGGCTGAAAATAATAAACGACATTGACAGTGAGAGTTTGAATACAGCGAATTCAACTTCTGTATTATTTAGATAGCTGTTTTTCTTTCTATATATATATATGTCTTTCTAGTTTTATGAGCAAAGTCTAAATGAATCTCTTGAATTACAGGCGCTAATAGTCTATTGGCTTTTTCAATCTCTAGCGCTAACAGGTGCATATATTTTTTTAAGAAGAAGAAGAATAACAAGTATGACATTCTTAGTTTAAGCCATTGTTAATACCCTATGTAACACACACACACACACACACATACACACACCACCTTTGAATAAAAATATAGTTAAAACCTACATGAGCCAAAATATTGTTTCGTGGAGTATGTTACCTTCGACTCATTGAAGGTACCATGGTCATTCAGTATTTGGATAATATGAGAGTGGATGCTTTTGTCAAAAATAAGATTTCGTAAGAGTTTTTATTTCTCTACTTGCATTAGCAGTTGCGGTAACTTTTAGGCATACTGGCATCGCATGGCATGGCATGATGGCTGGTGTGACCGGGCTGTGAATCCAAGGATTCAGAGTTTGCATTTCCACAGTCTCAAAACTCGATTCGCTTTTTTTTTTGGAGTCGTTGATGTACTTTAAGAGTGATGGTTAAATCCTACTAGCCTAAGAGATGCCTCCTCACTAGTCTTTCAGTTCATAATTGGGGACGGTTATGTACTGTGTTTTGCTTTGCGCAAAAATCTTGGAACAAATACATGCAGAGTATTTACGAAATACTCCAATTGATACTGAAGCAATATACATATCAGCAACAAAATTTGGGTTTAGGTTTTAGTTGGCTCTAATGTCAAACATGGACTTATTAATTACACAAAAATTAATAAATTCTTACCGAGATGCCAATAATGTTAACAAGTCCCTTCGTAAGACTATTTTTAGTTTCTGGCCAAATCATCGTTTAAAACAAAAGCATCGTTACCAAGGTCTAAGAAACAAGCAAGCCTGAACTAAATTTTACGTTTGTTTGTTTGTAAATAAACACAAAGCTACACAATGGGCTATCTGTGCTCTGCCCACCACGAGTATTGAAACCCGGATTCTAGCGTTGTAAATTTTACGTTTCTTTTAAGATGAGATTCACTTGGTAAAATTTGAAGTATATGTTTGTAGATTTGAAGAATTTGTTGAGACTGTTCTACATTATCATTCGTGTTAGCGTATAAACACTTAACGTTACGAACAGAAACGTACATGAACGTTTATCAGTCCATTACTATATTTATGTAAATAATAAGTTGTGAAGTGCATTTTTAATATATATATATAAAATCTTCATGTTTATTTAAATGGTAACAACACCGTTAGGGAACTATCTCAATTTTCGTTTTTCACATTACAGTGGTTATCTCAAAGTATAATGTTTCTGTTTTTCAATCTTCCTATTGGTGTTTCAATACGTAGATTTTCTCCAATAAGGTTTTATGTTGCAAGAATAGAAACTAATGGACTATCGAAAGTTCTGTAAAATGATAACGTATCGTACGATTTTTTTTTGTTCGAGGGACTGGCACGAAACATATTCTTTAAGGTGATATAATACCTTGTATATATATATGCTCTTTTGTAAAAACACGCGTTACTTCTCTGTCATGTTCTTCATTCTTATCTAGTTATATAATATGATCACTGGACGACATAAAGAAGCTTGCTTTTTGCGCTATCAATGCCTTTATGTCTTCTTGCAGAATGCTAGTTAGCTAATAGATTAACTTATAAACATCTAATATATAAAGCTAAGTTTGTGTCTGTCTGTTCGCACTTTTCAGTCATCTGTTACTTATACGTTTCCACACTTCTTGATCAATCTGCCCCAAATTTGATACAGTAATATAGGAAAGTCATAAAGGAGTTGGGGTTGGGCCCCTATCTTCTATTTAAATAAACGTCAATATGTATGTGTATCTGTTCCTTATACGTTTCCATATTTCTTGATCAATCAGCACTCAACTTGACACAGTGATACAGGATGACATGAGGAAGGCCATAAGGGGGGTTGAACCCCCCACCTAATTTCATATTGATAGAATTCTTGAAAACAGTATGTCTTTAGTTTCAGTATTGGCACCTTTATGTATTTTTATTGCACTTTTAATGTTTATCATGTTAATAAAAAAAATA